AATAATGAAATTTAACATAAATGCTCTTATGCGATTACAGTGTTTCAAAAATTAATAACCTTAACTATAACTGAAGTCAACAGAATAATATTCTCATTTTGTAAAAATATTACTGGTAACAAGTTTATTTTCTTACATTGTAGGATATAATGTATTAAGAATTACCGGTAATAACTTCAAGTCAACACAATATTCTCATTCTGTAAACAACAAAAATATTTCAAAACATTTAAATTAGCCAGTTGAACATTGAAATGCTTATGTACTGTGACAAGCTTAGATGCCTTTTTACTAGCCTAGAGCGATTTCTTGCAACACTGGGAATTAATACCAAATACTTATGTGAAAAATTCTCTCAACCCCTGCTGATGATGCAACAGCTCAAAATGTGCCTAGGAACATCCATTACATTTCTGTCCATATCATTGGCAAAATACTGCCACCAAGCCCAAGGGTGAGAGAGATTTACAACATCTTTTAAAATAGACCTCTTTAAATGGTGCACTTCTATTGGCAGGAGGACATTAATGTTGAAAGAAATGTGGAAGACTCTTTTACATACTGTTCTACCGTATCTCGCTGCTCAGGAGTCAGTTGTCACCCTGATACCTTGGATCTATCACATGCTAAAAAAATGGGCTGAGTGTCAATGCTACTTTGATTCTTTTTTCAAAATTATCCATAGTTTTCTTATCTGTAGTACTCCCTTAATATCAGTTTTCGGTTTTACCCACATTTCTACAGCATCACTTTAATAAGATGCTATATCTCTGGACACAGTCAATGCACCACATAATAGGCTTAAGTCTCTCTAAGCAAGTCTTGTGAGTTCTTTTTTTAATGCCTTATCATTAACTTTCCTTTCAATTTTCTTATCAATGTCTTGTACCTATTTTCTTTGCACACTTTGACAAAAGTTCTCAGTTCTTTAAATAAGATTCAATAAGGATCTGTCACTGTGTTCCATCGTGTGTCTGATGGCATTACTAGCATTGTTACTCCTGCTCTTCTTTACAGTAATGCTTGTTCCTTAATGTTCTATTGATTTGCAGGTCTTGTGAAGGCAAATTTAACAGGTGTGCCAAACAACTTCATATGTTATAATGGTTTATCTTGTCGAATTCACTTCTCATTTTTGCCATATTAACAGCATTTATCTGTTTCACAACTATATGCATCAAATTTGTCTTCACACTTTTTTGTAGCACATTCAGCTAATTTTCAACAGATATTTAAAAGCTGTGTGTCTTTATTCTGTGTCTATACAGTCAACAAAGATAAATACGGTTGTCTGCTGTTAAAGTTATACATACTATAAGGCTCATTATGGACATTACTCCCATCCATCCATGGCCATGCAAACTGTTTCCCACTAAGTTCTTCTGAATAATTCTTAATCACTGAATCATGGAAGCTTGATCCAGAGACCTCCAATTTGATGTCTATTAGGTGGAACATATCTGGTCTTAGCATTTTAATCATCTTGATAAACTCTTTGCGTGTTCCACTGTTCGGAAGGGTGAATTTGTTGCATATAATTTACTTAACTTGCTGATCCAAGTGACTTTCAGGCAGGTAGTTTTTTATCACGAAAGCAATTATGCTTCTTTTAGTAAGAAATAATATATGTTGTTTAAAAAGAACGCCACTAAGTGATAAAAATAGAATATCTGCATATATGTAGCCTAGTGCCTACCCAGCCTATTCTCTAAGCTTTTGCAAGAATTTACAGCCCCTTGCTCACTTATTGGCTGATATATAAGGCCGGGAAGAAAGAGAATACTACAGTTCTTCTGAATTTCAATAGTATTTATTATCTTAGTTAACAATATATTTCATGTAAATATACATTAATATTGAGACCTTGATATGATCAAGAAGTTTCGCAAAACTGGAAGAACAGACTATAGTACAGTACACTAATTATATGAAATCCAAAATAATGTTATTAGCCTGCTGCATTGCATATACGTTTCAATCATGTGGAATAAAAGAGAAAGCAGTTATTAAGTAAAACATTTATTTTGGTTGGATGTGAGACCCCTTTTTACTCTGATTTAGATAGAGTTTAAATCACGTGATTTAAATCCCATTTGATTTAAATCATATGCATATACGTTTCAATCATGTGGAATAAAAAAGAAAACAGTTATTAGTAAAACATTTATTTGATTTGAATCATGATTTTTTACTCTGATTTAAATCGATTTAAATCACGTGATTTAAATCATTTGATTTAAAAATCACCCTGAGATTAATACAGACTTTCTCTTCTGTTTCTAATTTACATTTACAAAAGAAAATCGCCCCCCCCGACCCGAATGTGGGTCGATGACCTGTATCAGGGTGGGCTATACCCGTAAAAAACTCCACAATAACATACTTCACCCTCCATCCACAACAACTCCACCAGCTCTCACAACAACATACTCACCCTACTTCCCACAACAACATACTCCACCAGCCCTCCACAATATACTTCACCCTCCTTCCACAACAACATACTCCACCAGCCCTCCACAATAACATACTCCACCCTCCTTCACAACAACACTCCACCATCACTCCACAACAACATACTCCGCCCTCCTCCACAACAACATACTCCACCCTCCCTCCACAACAACCCTCCACCTCCCTCCACGACAACATACTCCACCACCCCTCCATGACAACATACTCCACCATCACTCCACAACAACATACTCCGCCCTCCCTCCACAACAACATACTCCACCCTCCCTCCACGACAACATACTCCCAGCCCTCCATGACAACATACTCCACCATCACTCCCACAACAACATACTCCGCCCTCCCTCCACAACAACATACTCCACCCTCCTCCCACAACAACACTTTCCGCCCTCCCACAACAACACCTCCACCCTCCCTCCCACACAACATACTCCACCCTCCTTCCACAACAACATACTCCCAGCCCTCCACGACAACATACTCCACCCTCCTTCCACAACAACATACTCCACCCTCCCTCCACAACAACATACTCCACCCTCCCTCCACGACAACATACTCCACCAGCCCTCCACGACAACATAATCCACCCTCCCTCCACAACAACATACTCCACCCTCCCTCCACAACAACATACTCCACCCTCCTTCCACAACAACATACTCCACCCTCCCTCCCCAACATACTCCACCAGCCCTCCACAACACCATACTCCACCAGCCCTCCACGACAACATACTCCACCCTCCATCCACAAACAACCTACTCCACCCTCCCTCCACAACAACATACTCCACCAGCCCTCCAACAACATACTCCATCACCTTTACATAACCCACAATCAACTCCAATCCCAAGAAGGGTTGGAAGGGCAGCCATCAGGGGCTTCCACACAAACTAGGAAAAGAATCGTAATATCCGTGTTTACTGACGTCACGTTGTTACTCAAGAGCCTACTGGCATGTTCATCAGAACTGGTTTGTGACGATGTAAGTAACTGGGCCGGAGGTGGGAGAATATAAGACCCAAGTTCAGGTGTGTGCTGGTCACAACTCACCTGGTTGACGCTACGACAACAAGGCACCTTCAGTCTTACCTGTGTACTGTAGGTCAACACTAAACAGTAGGGAGGTAATGCTGCTGTTGTTTTACTCCATAATCACTACTAATAGCGCCTGATATTGTTAACAGTGTTACCATACTGCAACACAAGACGATTACATACGCCTGGAGCAGCACACTCAAAACGCCTCATCAGTTACGTACAGTAGCAGAGATACGATACTGTAACTTACAGACTGCTGACAGTCCCGTATTTATCTCATACACAAAATTTAATTTTGAGTCCGTATGCAGTCTGTAACTCTCGTGTTTACACTGTAAATTCAGTTCTCTCGTACGAAGGTATATGGCACCGTATGAGTAAGTTGGCCAATCGTGGCTCAGTTAACAAAATCATCAACCAATCACAAGAGAAGGAGAAATTAGCTGAGATCGACGCGCCTAACAGTTGCTAGATATAATTCAAGCGTCATATATATATATATATATATATATATATATATATATATATATATATATATATATATATATATATATATATATATACAGAGAGAGAGAGAGGTGGTAAAACTGCATAACAGTGGCATCACATTTTCTTATTCTAAAACCTATTTTTTCATAGTTTTTTTTGTTTAATGCAATCAGTAGTCATGCTCTGTTTTTTTTCAGCAAAATTAGTGAAATGTATCTTACCCTAGCCTAACCATAGCTAACCTAACCTAACTTTACCTAATATAACTTTTGCCTCACCTAATCTTTACCTAACCTAACCTTTACCTGATATTTACCTAACCTAACCTTACCTAACTTAAATAAGCCTTAGCTAAACTAACCTAAATTTACCGAACCTAACCTAACCTAACCTTTCCTTTTTATCATCCATTTGCAGAGATAATCAAAGGTTATAATACATAATAGTGGCTTCCTAAGTTACGCTTATATATCAACAGATTTATAGAAATGTTGGAGAAATTATTATAAAAAGTTTATCATCTGTGCAAATGTATTTTTTTTTAAGAAATTTTAATTTTTCTAAAGAACTTAATTTTTACCCCTTCTTTATTAGGATAGATGAACTTAGATTGGGTTAGGTATTATTTAACTCTGAGTCATGGGTATTTCTTGGATACTTGGCAGAATAGCTTGTTATAACCTGGTCCTAGCCATACCAAACAGGCGGAGTCAAGGCACAAATCTTCACTTGACCTCGTACTTGGTTTTCATTACTGACGGACAGGTACGACTATACCACATTAATAAGGTCTATCTGCAAGTTTACTCAGTCATAAAATATATTTGTACCATAAATGTGGACAATACAAATCTTCTCTTTCCTGTACAAATTACTTGAAAAGTTGTAAGACGACAAAAGATGCGTCTCTTCCATTCCAAGACAAATATAAACACACTCCAGCCTCTTCTTCTCGTAAAAAAAAGTATAAACTAAAAAGACAAACTGTAATATCGTATTTTAGTATGTTGATATACAAAACAGTTTCTTCATTATAATCGGGAAATAGCGACTTCCTATATCAGGGTTGAGTGTGTTACAGAGGCTAAGGAGGTCCTGTAAGATACGGCCGCGAATACAGACTCGTTTACGGAGTCCACTGACAAATATTTATTTTGAGTATACAGATCGGAGACTGTAAATTAGTTTCGGGGTAAACAAGGAGTATGTGGCACTTGGTATTACCATGTGTTGTGTTATACTGTAATGCAAAACCACACGACTATACCTGTTGCATTTTTGTTAACTACATAATCCTCACATATAAACGGAAGTTTGGCTAGTGACGTCACCATGTTTACAACACCATATTGTGGGTCAATTCGACCTGACCAACAGCTGTTTCATTCACAGTCATTCAACCGAAGCTGCCATCAATAATTTCCACCAAGAAAAGTAAGACCGATTATTTAACAATTAACAGACGACAGATTACTTAATAACGATGAATTACCGAGCAAAACAATCTGAGATTAAGAACAAAATAGTACAAATAACAACATCATATAATTATACACGCCATAATTTTCAGGTATGTACTTCTGGAAAAACTCTGTGATTTATTATATACTGTAATATTCCGGAGCAGTGAGCGTAGAAGGGGGGACATAAGAGATACTGTGGAGTAGATGTCAGACAGCAGGACGTTGTTCATTTAAGTGTGTTGTGCAGAATATACTGTACCTCATTATGTAGAGGTAGGAGGAGATAGTCCCGTCATGTAAAGAGATTGGTAGAAACAAACTGTAACAAGAGAGTCATGAGTAGGCCAAGAACGTCAAGGGGTGAAAACATGAGAAATAACTTGACATGCAAAAACTTTTTATATTTGCCGTGGACAGTAGCTAGTTCATTGCCCCCTTCCTGTGAACGGTAGAGCAAAAAGGATTACAGAATGGACCACAAAGGGCATTTATCAGACCCCAGTGGTCCAGATATTATGGCATTGAGAGTTACAGAGTATTACCAGTACATTGTTTAACTCGGTACATAGAATTTTGATGAGGTACTAGATGGGAGGTGTGGATACAGCTTTAGTGTGTCAGCCATCTTCTCATCAGAGATAAAGTGTTGTGCCACTGCTTACATAATGTGCTTGAATCTGTCCCTATAAGCTTCAATAATTTTTTTTTTGTCTGAGACGTAGTATTCAAGTGTGTGGTCAAATGTCTGTCCACACTCTTTACATTTAGTAATGTTCAAATCTGTGCGAGAGGCTGCAAGAGACCGTGCAGCTTGGAGAACTACCATCAGGTAATCACGGCTAATCCATGAACTTGTGAAAATAACCGTAAAAAATAACAATGACGATGTGTTACGTACCATATCTAATATCAGCAAAACACTTGCGTTATAATGTATATGAAGATATAAACCAGACCGTCTTGTTTTCCATCTTAGATCTTCGTTTCTCTGTTATCATTATCATGCGATGAGTTCTTAAATTACTTTAAATATTGTGATACAAATATTAATGGGAACAGGTTTTTGACGGAGCATTCACATGGCAAGAAAATTATCGCAGGTTAGATTCCATACACGAGTGGAAAACTGAGATCCTTCTGTGTACACTTGGAGTTACACTCTGCACTAAAGTGAGTGCACACTACTAGGTACACCAGCTGATGGTAAAACAACCAATCCGTGGATTAGCGGCTCAATAGCCGCTGAATGGTGATCAAACAACACTCGGTGGATTAGTATTCTGTTAAGAGTGAGGATAACCCACTAACTGTTGAATGGTAACAATTAAAATATCTGCTCCGATTCATCCATCCGATATCATAAGCCATGTAATGACTTGCAAGAATGAAAAGTTTCTTACATATATCATTATTAGCAGTAGTCAAATTGGTTGTAGTAATGGTTATATTAACAGTAGAAGTAGTCGTAGTCGTAGCATTACACTTTTTTTATAAACAATACATAATGAGTGTTCAGGTAATAACAGCTTCACTCTTCTTCTCGTCCACAGAATGTTAAACTTTGTGTCGGCAGTGTTGTTATTGACGCTAGTGGGTGTGGTCAGCCCTCAGTGTATCACCACCAACGATACTCAGTCCCCACCACTCCACCCTGACCTGGGCCACATCCTCCCCTTCAGCTTGGGTTTGTTCAAGGAGCTCTACGTCCCCGGCAGCGCCACGGGCAACTTCTTCTTCTCCCCCTTCAGCATCTGGAACGCCCTCGTCTTGGCCTACTTCGGGTCGGCTGGCAGAACCCGGGAGCAACTGCAACGGGTTCTCAACCTTAAGAACCCAGCTGATACCCTGGCCACTTACAAGGCCGTGGACCGTCTGTGAGTACACACCTGTCTTACTGACACACACCTGTACCTTACTGACCCACACCTCTACCTAAATGACCCTCACCTGTATCTTAATGACCCACACCTGTGCCTTAGTGATCCACACCTGTACCTTAATGACCAACACCTGTACCTTAGTGACCAACAGCTGTACCATAATGACTAACACCTGTACCTTAATGACCAACACCTGTACATTAATGACCAACACCTGTACATTAATGACCAACACCTGTACCTTAGTGATCCACACCTGTACCTTAATGACCAACACCTGTACCTTAGTGACCCCACACCTGTACCTTAATGACCCACACCTGTAACATAATGACTAACACCTGTACCTTAATGACCAAAACTTTTACCTTAATGACCAAAACCTGTACCTTAATGACCAACACCTGTACATTAATGACCAACACCTGTACCTTAGTGATCCACACCTGTACCTTAGTGACCCACACCTGTACCTTAACCTTGTACCAACACCTGTACCTTAGTGACCCACACCTGTACCTTAATGACCCACACCTGTACCTTAGTGACCCACACCTGTACCTTAATGACCCACACCTGTACCTTAGTGACCCACACCTGTACCTTAATGACCCACACCTGTACCTTAGTGACCCACACCTGTACCTTAATGACCCACACCTGTACCTTAGTGACCCACACCTGTACCTTAATGACCAACACCTGTACCTTAGTGATTCACACCTGTACCTTAATGACCAACACCTGTACCTTAGTGACCCACACCTGTACCTTAATGACCCACACCTGTACCTTAGTGACCCATACTTAAACCGCAATAAACCACAGCTATTTGTCTTTATGCATAGTCACGTAAGTACTTGTTTATCGAAAGGTGTGAACAGTGAGCGAATGAAGCATCTTCCCGGGAACTTGACGAATATTACATCACAGAACAGTTGAGCCATTCGACACATGTGTGGAGCCCATAAACAGTTGGCAAGCCTGTGGAACCTTAGAAGGGGTCGCCAATGACACCATTCACTGTGTTCATCATACTTCCGCTAAGTTTGGAAGATAGTTCATTCTCTCACTTTACAACTGCATTTTATATATAGTATGTTCGGCAACTCACACAGGTACGCAGAGCGACAGGCCAACAGCAGCGACTATGTGATCGATTTGGCCAACCGAATCTACGTGGACGTAAATTTACCCCTCCGTGACTGTGTGAACCACGTCCTTTCTGAGGAGGTCCAGCTGCTCAACTTCTCCCAGGTAAACGAGGCAGCCAACAAGATTAACCAATTCGTGTCGGAGACAACACGGAGCAAAATCACGCAGGTGGTCACCCCCCTGGACCTTGAGAACGCCGTCATGGCGGTGGTTAACGCGGCCTACTTCAAGGGCCTCTGGCTCACACCCTTCAAGACTTCCCTCACCTCCAAGGATAAGTTCTTCACATCCCCAAACCAACACACACTAGTCGACATGATGAATCTAAACGATTACTTTAAAGTAGGTATGTTTGTCTAGACTCAAGATAAAGCTTGTCCACCATTGTTTCCTTCCTCGCCATAGTTGAGGCGATCACCTGCCCAAATAATAGTTCAGTACATGGTTAAAAATCATGTGCAATAATAAGTTAGTTCCAACAGTGAAGCATCACATAAGTGTTGAAACTTTATTCTAAAAAAAGATAAATGTAAATTCATCTTGGCGTTGCTACGCCTTGACCACGACAACACGCCTCTTCTGAGCTGGGGTACACACGTTTGTTAAGACTCTAATTTGCATACTTTCCATTCACTACACATGGCGATTGATGCAAGTACTGGACAACTCTAGTGTAAATTGCGTAGGTACCAGAAAATTCCAGTTTTCAGTAATTTGTGGTAAAATTATCAAACCAATTTCAATTTCTCAAGACGACCTTCACATGATCACAAGACCATATGTATTCAGTCTTGACAGTCAATAATTCACTCAGTATGGGTAACGTTCAGGAATTCCAACAGATAAACCTGAACCCCGAATTTTTTTATTTAACTTTTTACATTGCTTTAATTTTACATCTAAAACACCATTCATGGAATAAGAAAACGCCTCTACCTATCTGTGCAGGGACCTATCTAGACCGCGTCCCTATGGTAACCTTATTATTATTGTTCGTGACGTCACACGTAAAATCGATATTTGTTAACGTGGGAGACATCTTTCATTTAACAAGAAATTAATAATCATAATTTTATATAATTTAAGCCAGTGGTATCGGGCTAAAGTCCTTACACATATGATAAACGCTCCACCATTTGAATAAACTGGTTTTATCATGACTAAGTATAACATATGAATAAGACGTGAATTATGGCTGTCTCATTGTTGATGCATGTTGTCTAAGACTATTCAGTTTTTTAAGATTTTATCAATATAACAACTTGCATATAACATAAGGAGCAGTAAGTGTATTGTGTTGGGTATTTGGGGGTAACTGGGAATTGGCTGCTCTTGGGAGACGCTTAGATTATTTATTATAAATTAAGTGAACTAGGATTCATTTATTACTGTACAATGAAAGAGACAAGGGCTTCATGTTACAAATTAGAGAAACATGGCGAGTGTTTAAGCCGCAGGCAACTGTGATTCTAATTCGTATTAAACGTACAGGTAATGAACGGTACTGAAGCAGGGCAGGAAAATAAACATTACATGTTGCTGCTGTAAGGCACGTCGGGGTGAGTTAACTGACATCACCGTTTTAAATTTCAAGTGGATAAAAGTAATGAGTGTAACACAGTAAATGATACTAAAATTACTCATTCCTGTTGTCCTGAAAGACGGGACAAGTACAATAACATCATAACTATGTATAGGAAGACGTGTATTTATTGCTGTAGTGAAGCAAATAACAATTACGTTATCTGGTGCTGCAGGAATATCAAGTGAGCTGGGTGCTACAGTGCTTGAGCTGCCGTACAAGGGAGAGGCCGCGTCCATGTTTGTGCTGCTGCCTGACTCTGCGGCGACCGACGACAACACCACAACACCCCTGGACTCCATGCTGACCCGCCTCACCCCATACACTCTCAGAGCTGCCCTCGCCACCCTGACAAATCAAGAAGTCGTCATCAAGATCCCCAAGTTCGAGATGGAAAAGAGAATCAAAAAAGAACTTAAAGGGGTGAGTTGCTTATATGTTTAAGATAAATATAATTGGAACAATATGGTTTATATGATCACGGTATGAATCTTCAAGTAGTAAGCAATTTTAACAATTACTGTCCATAGCTTTCCGGCCACAGGCACATATTTTCAAATACACACGCAACATCTATGGCATTTGCGTTTATTATCTTGCTGAAACGTTTTGATATGTTGCTTTCAAAGTGTATCCACATTTCACTGATAACCCGGCTCTGGGCATATTCCCAACCAAGGAATAAGATTGCAGCTCTTTGCTGTTTCAAGTGATGGATGGTAATGTTTTAACTAATAGTGAAGACAATTCTCAGTTTAAGGATAAATAATGTGCCATCTTGTACCATGTGAACCGTTTATGGAGGATAATATAATGTACTAGCATACTAATATCCCCAAGACAATGTTTTTTTTTTTAATTTCTTTCTTAAATACAATACCCAGGAGTTTGGTAATACCTCACACAATGACTTAGACGGTAATTTTTACGAGTTGTTAGGTCATAAATGTATAAGGGAGTAACTTGAACCCACCTAATACCATTTCCCTTGAAAGTCACGACCTACCAGTTGACATAACATAACACACCTGGTATGACCTTCAGTATATTTCAAGAGACTGACTGGAGTTATTTCAACGTAATAAAAAATTTGACCAAAAAACTCGAAGGAAACATTCTGTGACCAGTGTTCATTTTCGCAAGCCAACATACTTCCGGTATCATTTTACTTTCGGACATAGCGCCCCCTAAAGATATAAACTCCTGAAACATTTAGATCTCGCTATTCTGAGCATTTTGAACCTCATATATACATGGCGGAAATGGATAATACTTTTCAGTCTTCGTCTGTGAGATGTTATCTGCGCATCACGCATGCGCAATATTGACTGACGTCATCCAGTCATGACCAATGAGTTATCGATATCATCACGCGATTTTTTTGGACCAATCACATTTCATTTTTTTCAAAGGCAGCAGCCTGGGTAATTTCATTGACCCGTCTCCCAATGGCCGGGGTGGAGGTTGGTTGTCAGTTGTGCTCCTACGATTATTTTAAGTTTATTGCCAATTTTTACAAGAAAGACGATCAGTCTATCCAATTCTTACGTATCCCTGGTCCTTCCACTTCAAACCAAGGTATTGTACATTCGAACATGGCACGCCCCAAAGTTTTTAACTACTGAAACATTAAGGTTAGTTTAAATTAGGCCTACCGGGAGTCCGGGGTGGAGCCCCAGGCTAGGGATCAGGTTAGGCCTACTAGGGGTCAGGGGGCGGAGACCCCGGCTAGAACTTAGGTTAGGTTTTGTTAGGTCAGGTGACTCGTTTTCGTTTTCTCCCCCACCCAAAAAAACCGATTTCTCAGGCTCTCCCCTATTATTGTTGGGGGGAGAGGGCAAAAACTAGCAATTTCAGCCAAAAATTAAAGTCAGATTCGTTTAAAACACACCATAATACACTGGAAAAACATATTGGTCAAGCCCTAGGGACTCATGTCCGAAAGTAAAAATTCACCCTGTTTTTTATCGAGATGCCTCAACTATTAATGCAATTCATTATATTTCATGAATAAAGTTTCAACAACAAGAAACACATAAAATATAAACAAAACTTTACGTACAACGAGTCGGCGAAGTTCACTTTTCTAGTTACATAACTTATGAAACACTACTTCTTTATGCTTTGTTAAAATATTCCAATCTTCCCGACAGGCTCTCCAGCGTCTAGGGATCCGAGACATCTTCAGTAACTCTGCTGACATGTCCATCTTTGATCCTTCACGTCAAATTATATTGGAAGAGACCATCCATAAGGCCGTAATAGAAGTAAACGAGGAGGGTTCAGAGGCTGCGGCTGCAACAGTGGGATTCTTCATTAAAATACTTCCTTTCCGAATTATATGTAACCGCCCCTTTCTATTCTTCATCCACGATAACCATACCCATAATATTCTCTTTATGGGCGTCTACAGGCAGCCATGAACCCACACCAAACCATAATGTACACCCTTATAGAACACCAATATAACTTAGGCACCTACAAAGAGACCTCCGTAATATCTTGACTATCACTGCCCACTATTATGTTTACGTGACCATAATAATGTAAAATATATCCCCTATAATGTGGTCGTGATGTGATCAACTGTGTATGTGAGTTACAAGTGTTCCCCAAGTACTGACTGACAGTGAAGGCTGCCTCAGTAACATTCTAACCCTAATGTTTCGAAATTATGAAATATATAAACAAACTGTAAAATAATATTCACTTTCGTTTCTTAATATAATATACATTATTCCCCTGTATTTCAGTACTTCCTTCCAGTTGTCTTAACAATATTAACTTTTTGTTATTGTAATTCTTCCTGCATAACACACATGACATGATTATAATCTTGCTAATTATATATTATTTTGGGTCTAATAAGTTGCGTCAGCAACAGATCAATACACTGTTGAAGCATTACACATGAACGTTCTCCTCCCTTTAATATTTAATTTTCCACTCCTTGCAACGGTGGTACCTTCCCATTATTTCTCAATCACACTTCCAAAACGATACTACCACCCCTCCAAGACGATATTACCACCCCTCCAAGACAATACTACCACCCCTCCAAGACGATACTACCACCCTTCCCAGACGATACTACCACCCTTCCCAGACGATACTACCACCCTTCCCAGACGATACTACCACCCCTCCAAAATGAAACCAGCACCCCTCCAAGACGATACTACCACCCCTCCAAGACAATAGTACCACCCCTCCCAGACGATACTACCACCCTTCCCAGACGATACTACCACCCCTCCAAGACGATACTCACACACACCTCCCAGACGATGCTACCACCCTCCCAGACGATACCCACCCTCAAGACAATCCACCCCTCCAGACGATACTACCACCCTCCAAGACGATACTACCACCCTCCCAGACGATACTACCACCCCTCCCAGACGATACTACCACCCCTCCAAGACGATACTACCACCCTCCAAGACAATACCCCCCTCCAAGACAATACTACCACCCCTCACCCCTCCAAGACGATACTACCACCCCTCCAAGACAATAATACAACCCCACCAAGACGATACACCACCCCTCCAAGACGATACTACCACCCCTCCAAGACAATACTACCACCCCTCCAAAGACATAATACTACCCACCAAGACTCTACACAAGACATTGCAACCACCCTCCCAGACGATACTACCACCCTCCCAGACGATTACTACCACCCGTCCAAGACGATACTACCACCCCTCGAAGACAATACTACCACCCTCCAAGACGATACTACCACTCCTCCAAGACGATACTACCACCCCTCCAAGACGACATAACTAATGACTCCAAGACAATACGACCACCCATCCAAGACAATACGACCACCCATCCAAGACAATACGACCACCCCTCCAAGAACGATACGACCACCCCTCCATGACGATACGACCATCCCTCCAAGACAGCACTACCACCACTGCAAGACGACACTGCCACGCCTCCAAGACAATACGACCACCCATCCAAGACAATACGACCACCCCTCCAAGACAAAAATACTACCCCTCCAAGACAATAGTACTACCCCTCCAAGACAATACTACCAACCCTCCAAGACGATACTACCACCCCTCCAAGACGATACTACCAACCCTCCAAGACGATACTACCACCCCTCCAAAACAATACTACCACCACCCCAAGACGATACTACCACCCCTCCAAGACGATACTACCACCCCTCCAAAACAATACTACCACCCCTCCAAGACGATACTACCACCCCTCCAAAACAATACTACCACCCCTCCAAGACGATACTACCACCCCTCCAAAACAATACTACCACCCCTCCACGCCAACATTACCTGCCTACCCGTCAATAATTATCCAACCCTCACCGTCATCAGAACACTACTGTACATGAGTGACCGTCAGGTTTTACAATGCTGAGCTAAAACATTACTAGAAGGGACAACACATAGTTATATATTTGGGAATAAATTTCAGTTAATTTCACTAATGCTACGATTAAATACTTCGGAGTGTCAGTTCAAGGTTTAATCTCTCAAAATTACACATTTTGGCAAAAGTGAGCATCTTCGAACTGTATTAAGCGGAACCAACCAACTTCCTCTTCCGTCTTGTGAGGAAGATGATTAACTGGTTTCATCACTGGGATCTCAAGTCAAAGATGGAATCCATACAAAAGAATCATCTAAAGCCTTACAGAAGTCAACCTTCTGCAGACAAGATCTTGGTCTCTATTCTCTACAATGCCAGAGGGATTCTGTTGATTGACCACCTTGCACATAAAACAATGATCACTAGTGCAGCCCTAATGCGATAACTGAACAACATTATCCATCTGGGAGAAACAAGGAAGACCAAAGTGTGGTCCTGCTTCACGACAAGGTGCCGGTCCACAAATCAACATAAGCCATCACCCTCCACAATATAATCCTCCATCCATCTACAACTTACTCCAAAATCCCTTCATAGCTTACTCCACAGTCCTTCCACAAAAACATATTTCACCATCCCTCCATAAAAACATATTCCACCATTCATCCACAATAACATACTTCACCATCCATCCACAACAATATACTCCACCATCCCTCCTCATCATACACCACTATCCCTCCACAACATACTCCACCATCCTTCCATAATATCATATCCCACCTTCGACATTTCCAAAGCATTTGTTAGGGCCTAGCACAAGTCTTTGCTTTCTAAACTTCCCTCTTATGGTTTCTCTCCCCCACTTAGTTCTCTAATTTCTAGCTTCCTTGAGAACCTAACCATGGCAGTTGTTGTTGAGGGATTGATCTCTCGCTCTTTCTCTACCAATCACATTTCAGGACGCAATCACTCTGCCAAATTCTAAAAGATATGCTAGGCCTTACCATTTACTCTAATATGTCATGGGTCACACGTCCTCAACATTGCTAAAGCTGCCTCCCGAATGCTGTACAGATGCCGCACCTACTTTACTCTTGAGCAGTTGCTTCAAGTTTATTAGGGATTCATTCGTCCTAACTTAGAGTACTGCTCTCATATTTGGGGATGGCTCTTCTTTTCATTAACTGTTAGATAAAGTGAAATCAAAGGCATTTCGTCGTATTAACTCTCCTCCTTTAGTCGATAATCTTTCTTCCCTTTATCTTCGACGCAATGTTACCTCTCTCTCTCTCTCTCTCTCTCTCTCTCTCTCTCTCTCTCTCTCTCTCTCTTTTACAGGTACTTTAGCCGGCACTGTTCGGTGGATTTGACATCATGCGTACCGCTGGCAAGGCCGTGGACTCGTAACCCTCATCTTACCCGCGGTGCCCACCGTTTCTGTGTAGGTGTCGGTCACACTATAGAATAACATACAGCCAAACTGTGGAATGCTCTGCCTTCTTCTGTGTTTCCATGCTCATACAATGTCTCGCTTCCAAAAGCTGGTTTTCCGGCATCTTCGTGGTGTAGATCAATAAAGACTTTCTCTTCTATTTTTAATTTATTTTTACTCATATCCCCTCCCACCACCCTCCAGGCCCGGTTGTAGGTCGATGACCTGTGCCAGGGTGGGCTATTCCCCGTAAAAAAAACCCACTTTCCACAACAACATACTCCACCCTCCATCCACAAACAACATACTCCACCCTCCCTCCACAACAACATACTCCACCAGCCCTCCAACAACATACTCCATCACCTTTACATAACCCACAATCAACTCCAATCTCAAGAAGGGTGGGAAGGGCAGCCATCAGGGGCTTCCACACAAACTAGGAAAAGAATCGTAATATCCGTGTTTACTGACGTCACGTTGCTGCTCAAGAGCCTCCTGGCATGTTCGTCAGAACTGGTTTGTGACGATGTAAGTAACTGGGCCGGAGGTGGGAGAATATAAGACCCAAGTTCAGGTGTGTGCTGGTCACAACTCACCTGGTTGACGCTACGACAACAAGACACCTTCAGTCTTACCTGTGTACTGTAGGTCAACACTAAACAGTAGGTAGGTAATGCTGCTGTTGTTTTACTACATTATCACTACTAATAGCGCCTGATATTGTTAACAGTGTTGCTACACTGCAACACAAGACGATTACACACTCCTGGTATTATCAAGTGTTGTGTTGTGTTATAGTGTAATGCAAGACTTACTGTACTATAAGTGTTGCATTTTTGTTTACTGTTAAATTCTGATATGTCAACAGGGGTTTGGCAAGTGACGTCACTATGTTTACAACACCATATTGTGGGTCAATTCGTCTTGACCAAGAGCTGTTTCATTCAATCATTCACCCGAAGCCACCTTCAATAATTTGCACCAAGAAAAGGATGACCCATTATTTAACAGATAACAGACAGATTACTTAACAACGATTAATTACGAAAAAAAATCTGAGATTAAGAAACTTCCAGGATGAATAGCCAGTGTACGGCGTAACAGTAGTTTACCGCTTATTGGGCGCCAACTTCAACACACGGAGGTATGGTGGGCAGGTGGGGGAGGTGGCGCACAGCCAACACCTCCCTTGATTTTTAATTTAGCTTATGCCCTGGCTGATAGCAGGATGAGAGAGCTGTGGACCCTGGCGGCTGAGTGTGAAGCAGTATTGGCTGAAGCGAGGACTGGAGAGGAGTTGTAGGGAGAGTAGATCACTACAGTAGCGACAGCAGGCAAGGTGGCGATGAAGAGCGACGGAGGAAATTGGGGAGTGATGAGTAGCTGGATGGCGACGGAAGGGACAGTGTCGATTGCAGGTAACGGTTAGAGGAACGGCGACATAAGGGACAGGAAAATCGGGAGTAGTGAACTGCGTGGACGGATCAGTAAAGAGAACAAATTTGAAGATTTGAATTTGAAGGACTCTTGGCATACCATGTATACATATGTTCTTGTAATTATTTGTTGAAAATTTTATTGTTAATTTAAAGAAGTTACAACCGTAAAGGTTGCTCCTTTTAATGACCTACCAGTAAATAAAGAAACCCTACACATAATCATATCTGACAAAACAAAATACTTCAAATAACGACAACATATAATTACACACTGCATAATCTTCAAATATTTTAATTCAGGCAAAACTCTGTGATTCCTAATATAATATTCTGGGGCAGTGAGCATATAAGAGGGGACAAGACGTACAGTGGTGTAGATGTCAGACTGCAGCATGTTGTTCACTAAGTATGTTGTACGGAATATATCCCTTCATTGTGTCGAGGAGTTCTGCTACCTGGGTGACAAACAGTGCTGGAGGTGATGTTGAAGTTAGTTCAGACACACGAGGCAGGCGTGGCAGGAATTGTTGCCTTAACTGACGGCAAGAGGCCTTCCCCTGTTTGAAAGTTTTGTTCTTTGCAACTGGCATAACAAGCGATATACTGTATGGCAGTGAAACATTAGCGCTTAAAGAGGATGACACATAGGCTTGAGCGAGTTGAAATGACAATGGGGAGATTGAATTGTCAGGTGACGTTACAAAATAGAAAAACCTGTTCAGAGCTAAAACGTAGCTGGGTACTGAGAGTACTGGCGAGGTTTTGCTTACAGGTAGTCTGAGATAGTTCTATCATGTGAAGAGAATGGTAGAGACAAATTGGGACAAGAGATTCATGAGTTTCAATGTGCAGAGGAGGATAGCTTGGGGTAGGCCAAGAACGACAAGGGGTGAAGACGTGAAAAATAACTTGCGGCAAGAACTTAATGAGGGAATGGAATTCTCAAATGTGCCGCCGACAGTAGCTAGTTTATTGCCCCCTCCATACTGGTCCCGTGAACTGTAGAGCAAAAACGGTGTTTATCAGAACCCAGTGGTCCAGATATTATGACATTGAGAGTTACAGAATATTTCCAGTACATTGTTTAAGTCGGTACTTAGAATTTTGATTAGATACGAAATGCGAAGGGTGGATACACCTTTAGTATGTCAGCTATCTTGTCATCAGAGATGAAGTGTTGTGCCACTGTGTACACACTGTGTACACTGTGTCCCTATAAGGTTCTACTTTTTTGGTCTAAAGACGAAATGTTCGAGTGTGTGGCCATATGTCTGTCCACACTCTATACATTTAGTGATGTTCACATCTGCCTGTGGGAGACGCTGCAAAAGATCAAGCAGCTTGGTGAACTACCATCAGGTACTCACGGCTAATCCATGACCGTGTTAAAATAAGCGTAAGAAAGAACAATGACGAAGTGTTACGTATATATCCAATAAAAACAACACTTGCGTTAAAACAGACCGTCTTGTTTTTCATCTTAGATTTTCGTTTCTCCTTTATCATTATCATGCGATGAGTTCTTAAATTACTTTAAATATTGTGATACAAACATTATGGGAACAGGTTTTTGGTTGAGCATTCGCATAGCAAGAAAATTATCACAGGTTCGATTCCCTAGACAAGTGGAAAACTGAGATCTTTCTGTGTACACTTGGAGTTACACTCTGCACTAAAGTGAGTGCACACTACTAGGTACACCAGCTGATGGTAAAACAACCAATCCGTGGATTAGCGGCTCAATAGTCGCTGAATGGTGATCAAACAACACTCGGTGGATTAGTATTCTGTTAAGAGTGAGGATAACCCACTAACTGTTGAATGGTAACAATTAAAATATCTGCTCCTATCCAGCCATCCTCTATCATGGTTCAGGTAATGACTTGCAAGAATGAAAAGCTTCTTACATATATCATTATTAGCAGTAGTCAAATAGGTTGTATTAAAGGTTATATTAACAGTAGAAGTAGTCGTAGCATTACACTTTTTTTATAAACAATACATAATGAGTGTTCAGATAATAACAGCTTCACTCTTCTTCTCGTCCACAGAATGTTAAACTTTGTGTCGGCAGTGTTGTTATTGACGCTAGTGGGTGTGGTCAGCCCTCAGTGTATCACCACCAACGATACTCAGCCCCCGCCACTCCACCCTGACCTGGGCCACATCCTCCCCTTCAGCTTGGGTTTGTTCAAGGAGCTTTACGTCCCCGGCAGCGCCACGGGCAACTTCTTCTTCTCCCCCTTCAGCATCTGGAACGCCCTCGTCTTGGCCTACTTCGGGTCGGCTGGCAGAACCCAGGAGCAACTGCAACGGGTTCTCAACCTTAAGAACCCAGCTGATACCCTGGCCACTTACAAGGCCGTGGACCGTCTGTGAGTACACACCTGTCTTACTTACCCACACCTGTACCTTAGCGACCAGCACCTGTACCTTAGTGACCCACACTTGTACCTTAATGACCCACACCTGCACCTTAGTGACCCACACCTGCACCTTAATGACCAACACCTGTACCTTAGTGACCCACACCTGTACCTTAGTGACCCATGACCTAAACAGCACAAAGCCTGTTCATCAAGCTGATGGCGCCGTGAACCTCCAATTGGGGATTGCCTGTGCCACTTCTGTGGTTGGAGTAGCATTTTACCTGAGGTTCATGGCGCCATCAGCTCAATAAACAGGCTTTGTGTGAAATATAACAAAGTCTAGGATTGCTTTTAATGTCCTTGTGGTAAGGTGGTAGCAATCCCTGGTGTTACGAGTTGGGGATTTAGAATATAGTTATACGTCTACCCAGATCCCAACAGGTAACAACATAAAAAAAAAACAAAGACAATCGGACTATAAAAGGGTAGACAAAGGATGCGAGTTTTCGTTGTATATAATAGAGTACCATAAATCCCTTAACAAAATATTCAGCTTATAAATTACCCTTAACCAAACTTAACCTAAACATTAACAGTATATACATATTAATACAACATAAACCATTTTGAAGCAAGTGGACGTGGGGGAGGTAATACAAGATACATGTACTTAAGTGAGGAGCTGAGATGGCTGACGAGTAAGGCTGAGTATTGTAGAAGACGGTAGGTAGTCACTGCACGTAGGTTTAGAGGATAGATGATCCTGTGGTCACTTCCCAGAGCCAAGTCCCTCTCCTCGAATTGGAGCTGACAAAGAAGACTGAGGAGGTGACGCAACCCAGGATATGGAGAAGGGAAACCTCGGAGTGGTAACTAAGACGAGTCATACTCGTGTCTCGTCCCTAGATGGCGTTGCTCGGGGTGCTGGGTAGGTAGATCAGGACAATAGATGGCGTGCTTCGTAGTGCTGGGTGGAGGGGTTCGTAACACTGGTCACACCCATAAGGTCGAGAGTTCGAGTCCTGGCTGGTGAAGTGAATCGGCTGCTTGTGCAATTAACCAGGTCCTTCACATATATTTATTATTTGGGTTTAAGTAACGAAACCCAAACGGTAGTTCCTTGTTTTATTATAAAAGGGTTGTATATATATTTCCTGAGTGAAGATCGACCGTAAGTCTCACTGTATAGGAGTGAATGAGAAAGGGACGGCGTTTATGTATTATAAACGTTAGGTCACGTCCTTACGATATAAGTTGATGTGAGCGATTAAAGAGTGAGGGCCTCGCTGTGCGGGCTTGCAGAAATGCTGACTACGAGTCACTCCCTCCTGGGAGAGTTGTCCGCTCACGTGTACAACTCATGTCATACTCATAGACAGTGGAAAGTTACAGGGTGGTGAATCTGAATATAATATCAAATGTATTGACCCATTTATATAATATGTTCTGTTGATGAGACAGGGGCCCATTACAGAAGTCGTTGATTATATGTTGAAAGTCCACGTGCTATATGGACTAAATGTCATTGCTGACAGTATAAGCACCTGTCAATCTACACTTGAGCAGTGCCTGTCAATATTGTAAACCTATGTTCGGCAACTCACACAGATACGCAGAGCGACAGGCCAACAACAGCGACTATGTGATCGATTTGGCCAACCGAATGTACGTGAACGTGAGCTTTACCCTCCGTGACTGTGTGAGCCAGGTCCTCTCTGAGGAGGTCCAGTTCCTCAACTTCTACCAGGTCAGTACAGCTACACACATGTCACTGAACTCTCTCTCTCTCTCTCTCTCTCTCTCTCTCTCTCTCTCTCTCTCTCTCATACCATGTTTATCCGCCCTCAGAACGACGAGGCAGCCAACAAGATCAACCAATTCGTGTCGGAGACAACACGGAGCAAAATCACGCAGGTGGTCACCCCCCAGGACCTTAAGAACGTCGTCATGGCGTTGATTAACGCCGCTTACTTCAAGGGCCTCTGGCTCACACCCTTCAAGACTTCCCTCACCTCCAAGGATAAGTTCTTCACATCCCCAAACCAACACACACTAGTCGACATGATGAATCTAAACGATTACTTTAAAGCAGGTATGTTTGTCTAGACTCAAGATAAAGCTTGTCCAACATAGTTTCCTTCCTCGCCATAGTTGAGGCGATCACCTGCCCAAATAATAGGCCAGTACATGGTTGAAATTCATATGCAATAATAAGCTAGTTCCGCCAGTGAAGCATCACATAAGTGTTGAAACTTTATTCTAAAAAAATATAAAAGTAAATTCATCTTGGCGTTGCTACGCCTTATCCACGACATCACGCCTCTTCTGAGCTGGGGTACACACGTTTGTTAAGACTCTAATTTGCATACTTTCCATTCACCACATATGGCGATTGGTGCAAGTACTGGACAACTCTAGTGTAAATTGCGTAGGTACCAGAAATGTTACAGCTTTAAAAAAAATTTGGTAAAATTATCAAACCAAATTTAATATCTCAAGACAACCTGCACATGATCACAAGACCATATGCATTCAGTCTTGACAGTCAATAATTCACTCAATATGGGTAACATTCAGGAATTCCAACACTTAAACCTGAACCCCGAAATTTTTCTTTTTAACATTTTTCCATTGTTGTATTTTTACATCTAAAACACCACTCATTGAATAGAAAACGCCTCTCCCTATCTGTGCAGGGACCTATCTAGACCGCGTCCCTATGGTAACCTTATTATTATTGTCCGTGACGTCACACGTAAAATCGATATTTGTTAACGTGGGAGACATCTTTCATTAGTCAAGAATTTTAAGAATAATCATAATTACATATAATTTAAGCCAGTGGTATCGGGCTAAAGTCCTTACACATATGATAAACGCTCCACCATTTTAATAAACTAGGTTTATGACCAAGTATAGCATATGAATAAGACGTGAATTATGGCTGTCTCATTGTTGATGCATGTTGTTGTGTGTGTTCACTTTTTAACCATTTATTGTCATAATAAGTTCCATAAAACAAAGAGCAGTAAGAGTTAGGTATTTGGGGAGTAACTGGGGATTGGCTGCTCTTGGGAGACGCTTAGATTATTTAATCTTAAATTAAGTGAACTATGATTCATTTATTACTGTATAATGAAAGAGACAAGGGCTTTATGTTACAAATAAGAGAAACATGGCGAGTGTTAAAGCCGCAGGCAACTGTGATTCTAATTCGCATTAAACGTACAGGTAATGAACGGTACTGAAGCAGGGCAGGAAAATAAACATTACATGTTGCTGCTGTAAGGCACGTCGGGGTGAGTTAACTGACATCACCGTTTTAAATTTCAAGTGGATAAAACTAATGAGTGTAACACAGTAAATGATACTAAAATTACTCATTCCTGTTGTCCTGAAAGACGGGACAAGTACAATAACATCATAACTATGTATAGGAAGACGTGTAATTATTGCTGTAGTGAAGCAAATAACAATTACGTTATCTGGTGCTGCAGGCATATCAAGTGAGCTGGGAGCTAGAGTGCTTGAGCTGCCGTACAAGGGAGAGGCCGCGTCCATGTTTGTGCTGCTGCCTGACTCTGGGGCGACCGACGACAACACTACAACACCCCTGGACGCCATGCTGACCTACCTCAACCCATACTCTCTCAGAGCTGCCCTCGCCACACTGAGAACACAAAGAGTCCTCATCAGGATCCCCAAGTTCAAGATGGAAAAGGGGATCAAAGAAGAACTTAAAGAGGTGAGTGTCTTATACGTTTAAGATTAATATAACGAGGACTGCAAGTATTACCTGGAATTATAACAAAATTACTACCAAGAACTTTCTGGCCAAATGCATAATTACGAATAATTATGTAAGAATTATATTCATGTTCACGATGATGCTGTTAAAACTATCCATTCACCGTTTGTCTCCTCTTTAGAACAACTGTCACTTGCTTTTCTATGTTTATCCAAACTTCATCAATTATCCGGCTGTGGACACACTCCCCACCAAGGAATAACTTTGCATTTCTTTTATGTGCCAAGTTATGAATGGTGACATTTTGATAGTGCCGGAAATAATTAATGATATAAAGTTAAAGTAAAATCAAAATGACGGAAAAGAAAACAAAACCGGAAAGAAAAACAACCCAAAATAAAACGACAAGAATAAAGAAACCTATAAAAGAGAGAGAGAGAGAGAGAGAGAGAGAGGCCAGCCAACTCCACAAACATTAGTAACTAGAACCCACCTAATACCATTTCCCTTCAACCTCTCGACCTACCAATTAACATCACTATCACACCTGGCATGACCTTAAGTATATCTGAAGAGGCTGGCTGGAGTTATTTCAATGGAGTAAAGGCATTTACCAAATACCTATCTCTCACCAAAACATTGACACCGTGTTCATTTTCACAAGCCAACAAATTTCCTGACAGCATTTATCACTACTGCCTTCACAACCAAGGAAAAAGTCAGTCACAAACTCTTGTATTTTTTGTTTTTAATCAAGATGCCTCAAACACTAATCAAATATCTACAAGAAGAAGCACTTAAAAATGTAGATGAAACTTTGCCCACAACGATCCTTTAAGTTTACTTTTCTAGTTACAAAACTGATGACACACTGCTTCATGTTGTTAAAAATATTCCAATCTTCCCGACAGGCTCTCCAGCGTCTTGGGATCCGAGACATCTTCAGTGACTCTGCTGACATGTCCATCTTTGATCCTTTACGTCAGCTTAAAGTGAAAGAGACCATCCATAAGGCCGTAATAGAAGTAAACGAAGAGGGTTCAGAGGCTGCGGCTGCAACAGTGGGACTCATTGTTCCCTTGTCGGGCCCGTTACGATTCATATGTAATAGGCCCTTCCTATTCTTCATCCACGATAACCATACCAATAACATTCTCTTTATGGGCGTCTACAGGCAGCCTTGAACCCACACAAAACCATAATGTACACCCTTATAGAACACCAATATAACTTAGGCACCTACAAAGAGACCTCCGTAATATCTTGACTATCACTGCCCACTATTATGTTTACGTGACCATAATAATGTAAAATATATCCCCTGTAATGTGGTCGTGATGTGATCAACTGTGTATGTGAGTTACAAGTGTTCCCCAAGAACTGACTGACAGTGAAGGCTGCCGCAGTAACATTCTAACCCTAATGTTTCGAAATTATGAAATATATAAACAACCTGGAAAATAATATTCAATTTAGTTCCTGAATAAAATATACATTATTCCCCTGTATTTCAGTACTTCCTTCCAGTTGTCTTAACAATATTAACTTTTTGTTAATGTAATTCTTCCTGCATAACACACATGACATGATTATAATCTTGCTAATTAAATATTATTTTGGGTATAATAAGTTGCGTCAGTAACAGATCAATACACTGTTGAAGCATTACACATGGACGTTCTCCTCCCTTTAATATTTAATTTTCCACTCCTTGCAACGGTGGTACCTTCCCATTATTTCTCAATCACACTTCCAAAACGATACTACCACCCCTCCAAGACGATATTACCACCCCTCCAAGACGATATTACCACCCCTCCAAGACGATACTACCACCCCTCCAAGACGATACTACCACCCCTCCCAGACGATATTACCTCCCCTCCAAGACGATACTACCACCCTTCCCAGACGATACTACCACCCCTCCAAGACGATACTACCACCTTCCCAGACGATACTACCACCCTCCAAGACGATACTACCACCCTTCCCAGACGATACTACCACCCTCCAAGACGATACTACCACCCTTCCCAGACGATACTACCACCCCTCCAAGACGATACTACCAATTCTCCCAGACGATACTACCACCCCTCCAAGACGATACTACTACCCTCCCAGACGATACTACCACCCTCCAAGACGATACTACCACACCTCCCAGACGATACTCCCAGACGATACTACCACCCCTCCAAGACGATACAATCCACCCCTCCCAGACGATACTACCACCCCTCCAAGACGATACTACCACCTCCCCAGACGATACTACTCACCAGACGATACTACCACCAAGACGATACTACCACCCCTCCAAGACAATACTCCCACCCCTCCAAGACAATACTACAACCCCACCAAGACGATACTACCACCTCCAAGACGATACTACCACCCCTCCAAGACAATACTACCACCCCTCCAAGACAATACTACTCCAAGACGATACTACCACCCCTCCAAGACAATACTACTACCCCACCAAGACGATACTACCACCCCTCCAAGACGATACTACCACCCCTCCAAGACAATACTACCACCCTCCCAGACGATACTACCACCCGTCCAAGACGATACTACCACCCCTCGACAATACTACCACCCTCCAAGACGATACTACCACCTCCAAGACGATACTACCACCTCCAAGACGACATAACCACGACTCCAAGACAATACGACCACCCATCCAAGACAATACGACCACCCATCCAAGACAATACGACCACCCCTCCAAGAACGATACGACCACCCCTCCATGACGATACGACCATCCCTCCAAGACAGCACTACCACCACTGCAAGACGACACTGCCACGCCTCCAAGACAATACGACCACCCATCCAAGACAATACGACCACCCCTCCAAGACAAAAATACTACCCCTCCAAGACAATAGTACTACCCCTCCAAGACAATACTACCAACCCTCCAAGACGATACTACCACCCCTCCAAGACGATACTACCAACCCTCCAAGACGATACTACCACCCCTCCAAAACAATACTACCACCCCTCCAAGACGATACTACCACCCCTCCAAAACAATACTACCACCCCTCCAAGACGATACTACCACCCCTCCAAAACAATACTACCACCCCTCCAAGACGATAATACCACCCCTCCAAAACAATACTACCACCCCTCCACGCCAACATTACCTGCCTACCCGTCAATAATTATCCAACCCTCACCGTCATCACAACACTACTGTACATGAGTGACCGTCAGGTTTTACAATGCTGAGCTAAAACATTACTAGAAGGGACAACACATAGTTATATATTTGGGAATAAATTTCAGTTAATTTCACTAATGCTACGATTAAATACTTCGGAGTGTCAGTTCAAGGTTTAATCTCTCAAAATTACACATTTTGGCAAAAGTGAGCATCTTCGAACTGTATTAAGCGGAACCAACCAACTTCCTCTTCCGTCTTGTGAGGAAGATGATTAACTGGTTTCATCACTGGGATCTCAAGTCAAAGATGGAATCCATACAAAAGAATCATCTAAAGCCTTACAGAAGTCAACCTTCTGCAGACAAGATCTTGGTCTCTATTCTCTACAATGCCAGAGGGATTCTGTTGATTGACCACCTTGCACATAAAACAATGATCACTAGTGCAGCCCTAATGCGATAACTGAACAACATTATCCATCTGGGAGAAACAAGGAAGACCAAAGTGTGGTCCTGCTTCACGACAAGGTGCCAGTCCACAAATCAACATAATCCATCACCCTCCACAATATAATCCTCCATCCATCTACAACTTACTCCAAAATCCCTTCATAGCTTACTCCACAGTCCTTCCACAAAAACATATTTCACCATCCCTCCATAAAAAACATACTCCACCATTCATCCACAACAATATGCTCCACCATCCATCCACAATAACATACTTCACCATCCATCCACAACAATATACTCAACCATCCCTCCTCATCATACACCACTATCCCTCCACAACATACTCCACCATCCTTCCATAATATCATATCCCACCTTCGACATTTCCAAAGCATTTGTTAGGGCCTAGCACAAGTCTTTGCTTTCTAAACTTCCCTCTTATGGTTTCTCTCCCCCGCTTAGTTCTCTAATTTCTAGCTTCCTTGAGAACCTAACCATGGCAGTTGTTGTTGAGGGATTGATCTCTCGCTCTTTCTCTACCAATCACATTTCAGGACGCAATCACTCTGCCAAATTCTGAAAGATATGCTAGGCCTTACCATTTACTCTAATATGTCATGGGTCACATGTCCTCAACATTGCTAAAGCTGCCTCCCGAAAGCTGGGAATGCTGTACAGATGCCGCACATACTTTACTCTTGAGCAGTTGCTTCAAGTTTATTAGGGATTCATTCGTCCTAACTTAGAGTACTGCTCTCATATTTGGGGAGGGCTCTTCTTTTCATTAACTGTTAGATAAAGTGAAATCAAAGGCATTTCGTCTTATTAACTCTCCTCCTTTAGTCGATAATCTTTCTTCACTTTTTCTTCGACGCAATGATACCTCTCTCTCTCTCTCTCTCTCTCTCTCTCTCTTACAGGTACTTTAGCCGGCACTGTTCGGTGGATTTGACATCCTGCGTACCGCTGGCAAGGCCGTGGACTCGTAACCCTCATCTTACCCGCGGTGCCCACCGTTTCTGTGTAGGTGTCGGTCACACTAGAATAACATACAGCCAAACTGTGGAATGCTCTGCCTTCTTCTGTGTTTCCATGCTCATACAATGTCTCGCTTCAAAAGCTGGTTTTCCGGCATCTTCGTGGTGTAGATTAATACAGACTTTCTCTTCTATTTTTAATTTATTTTTACTCATATCCCCTCCCACCACCCTCCATGCCCGATTGTAGGTCGATGACCTGTGCCAGAGTGGGCTATTCCAGGTAAAAAAAAAACACTTTCCACAACAACATACTCCACCAGCCCTCCACAACAACATACTCCACCAGCCCTCCACAACAACATACTCCACCACCTTTACATAACCCACAATCAACTCCAATCCTAAGAAGGGTGGGAAGGGCAGCCATCAGGGGCTTCCACACAAACAAGGAAAAGAATCGTAATATCCGTGTTTACTGACGTCACGTTGCTGCTTTTCCAAGAACCTCCTGGCATGTTCATCAGAACTGGTTTGTGATGATGTAAGTAACTGGGCCGGAGGTGAGAGAATATAAGACCCAAGTTCAGGTGTGTGCTGGTCACAACTCACCTGGTTGACGCTACGACAACAAGACACCTTCAGTCTTACCTGTGTACTGTAGGTCAATACTAAACAGTAGGTAGGTAATGCTGCTGTTGTTTTACTACATTATCACTACTAATAGCGCCTGCTATTGTTAACAGTGTTGCTACACTGCAACACAAGTGACGTCACTATGTTTACAACACCATATTGTGGGTCAATTCGTCATTCAGTCATTCACCCGAAGCCACCTTCAATAATTTGCACCAAGAAAAGGATGACCCATTATTTAACAGATAACAGACAGATTACTTAACGAGTAATTACGAGAGAAGAAATCTGAGATTATTAAACTTCCAGGAAGAATAGCCAGTGTACGGCGTAACAGTAGTTTACCGCTTATTTGGCGCCAACTCCAACACACGGAGGTATGGTGGGCAGGTGGGGGAGGTGGCGCACAGCCCTTGATTTTTTATTTAGCTTATGCCCTGGCTGATAGCAGGATGAGAGAGCGGTGGACCCTGGCGGCTGAGTGTGAAGTAGTATTGGCTGAAGCGAGGACTGGAGAGGAGTTGTAGGGAGAGTAGATACAGTAGCGACAGCAGGCAAGGTGGCGATGAAGAGCGACGGAGGAAATTGGGGAGTGACAGAGTCGCTGGATGGCGACGAAAGGGACAGTGTCGATTGCAGGTAACGGTTAGAGGAACGGCGACAGAAGGGACAGGAAAATCGGGAGTAGTGAACTGCGTGGACGGATCAGTAAAGAGAACAAAATTGAAGATTTGAATTTGAAGGACTCTTGGCATACCATGTATACATATGTTCTTGTAATTATTTTGTTGAACATTTTATTGTTAATTTAAAGAAGTTACAACCGTAAAGGTTGCTCCTTTTAATGACCTATCAGTAAATAAAGAAACCCTACACATAATCATATCTGACAAAACAAAATACTTCAAATAACGACAACATATAATTACACACTCCATAATCTTCAAATATTTTAATTCAGGCAAAACTCTGTGATTCCTAATATAATATTCCGAGGCAGTGAGCATATAAGGGGAACAAGATGTCAGACTGCAGCATGTTGTTCACTAAGTATGTTTTACGGAATATATACCTTCATTGTGTCGAGGAGTTCTGCTACCTGGGTGACAATCAGTGCTGGAGGTGATGTTGAAGTTAGTTCAGACACACAAGGCAGGTGTGGCTGGAAGAGGTTGAAGAAATTGTTGCCTTAACTGACGGCAAGAGGCCTTCCCCTGTTTCAAAGTTTTGTTCTACTTTTTAAGTCTAAAGACGAAATGTTCGAGTGTGTGGCCATATGTCTGTCCACACTCTTTACATTTAGTGATGTTCACATCTGCCTGTGGGAGACGCTGCACAAGATCAAGCACCTTGGTGAACTACCATCAGGTACTCACGGCTAATCCACGAACGTGTTAAAATAAGCGTAAAAAAGAACAATGACGAAGTGTTACGTACATATCCAATAAAAGCAAAACACTTGCGTTAAAACAGACCGTCTTGTTTTTCATCTTAAATTTTCGTTTCTCCTTTATCATTATCATGCGATGAGTTCTTAAATTACTTTAAATATTGTGATACAAATATTATGGGAACAGGTTTTTGGTTGAGCATTCGCATAGCAAGAAAATTATCACAGGTTCGATTCCCAAGACGAGTGGAAAACTGAGATCCTTCTGTGTACACTTGGAGTTACACTCTGCACTAAAGTGAGTGCACACTACTAGGTACACCAGCTGATGGTAAAACAACCAATCCGTGGATTAGCGGCTCAATAGCCGCTGAATGGTGATCAAACAACACTCGGTGGATTAGTATTCTGTTAAGAGTGAGGATAACCCACTAACTGTTGAATGGTAACAATTAAAATATCTGCTCCGATTCATCCATCCGATATCATAAGCCATGTAATGACTTGCAAGAATGAAAAGTTTCTTACAGATATCATTATTAGCAGTAGTCAAATTGGTTGTAGTAATGGTTATATTAACAGTAGAAGTAGTCGTAGCATTACATTTTTTTTATAAACAATACATAATGAGTGTTCAGATAATAACAGCTTAACTCTTCTTCTCGTCCACAGAATGTTAAACTTTGTGTCGGCAGTGTTGTTATTGACGCTAGTGGGTGTGGTCAGCCCTCAGTGTATCACCACCAACGATACTCAGTCCCCACCACTCCACCCTGACCTGGGCCACATCCTCCCCTTCAGCTTGGGTTTGTTCAAGGAGCTCTACGTCCCCGGCAGCGCCACGGGCAACTTCTTCTTCTCCCCCTTCAGCATCTGGAACGCCCTCGTCTTGGCCTACTTCGGGTCGGCTGGCAGAACCCGGGAGCAACTGCAACGGGTTCTCAACCTTAAGAACCCAGCTGATACCCTGGCCACTTACAAGGCCGTGGACCGTCTGTGAGTACACACCTGTCTTACTTACCCACACCTGTACCTTAGCGACCAACACCTGTACCTTAGTGAACCACACCTGTATCTTAGTGACCCACACCTGCACCTTACTGACCCATACCTGTACCTTAATGACCAACACCTGTACCTTAGTGACCCACACCTGCACCTTAATGACCAACACCTGTACCTTAGTGACCTACACCTGTACCTTAATGACGGCACGGGGTGGAGGAGACTGCAGTGGGAGCGGGTAAACAAAGTGAAAGATTACAGGGAAATAGTGTTAGGATGATGACAAAACTCAATTAGACAGGGCGTTTAAACCTAAATGCGGCAAAGGGAGGACTCAGAACATGACTAACTTAAATGTCTACTACGCGAACAGTAGAGGTATGAGAAACAAAATGGATGATATTAGGGCCTTGGTATGTACCGGAAAAATCGATATAGCATTCACTGAAACATGGATCAACCTAGACTCACGTGAGTTACCGGTCGAATACCAAATTGCGGATTACAAATTGTTCGATACTGATAGGCCGTCCAGGAAAGGAGGCGGAGTAGCCATCTATGTCAGGGATAATCTGAAGTGCGAAATAAATAAGGAAATAAAAACTGAGCCGAATACAGAAACAATTTGGATAGAATTAATCGACGGTAGGGAAAAATTAATCATAGGAGTAATATATAGACCTCCCAATCTTGATAGAATTAATGAGCGACTTATCTAGGATGAAATGCGCAGGGCTTCCATACACAACAAAGCCTGTATAGTAGGGGATTTTAACCTTGGCCAAATAGATTGGACTGACCTTACCGGTAATTCAGTATTAGAGGATTTCCTCGAAACGATCCAGGGCTGTTTCCTAAGTCAACATATAACCGAACCCACCCGGGGTAATAATATACTCGATTTAGTTCTGTCGAACAGAGAAAACCTCATTAGCAATGTCGAGGTAGGGAACGAACTTGCAAACAGCGATCACAAAGAAATTAGATTCCAGTTAGATTTTCTGGTCAGACGTAAAGGGAATTCCATTAAAGTCCCAGATTTCAGAAGGGCAAACTTTGATAGTTTAAAGAGGCAGCTGGGAGAGGGAGTGTCACGCATGGATGTGAACCTGACAGATGACACCGACCTGATAACGAGATCTGAGACTGCCGAGTTCCACGACAATTAAAATAACGAGTTACTTAATGCACAAACGCAGAACATACCATACAAAAACTCAGATCAGACAACAATGACCCTAAATGGATAAATAATTATTTAAAGAACATTATTGGCCAAAGGAAGGCTATAGGTAGAAGCATAAATCGTGGCGAATTTTACCTCCGGGAGTATTATAAGGTATTGGCCGGTAGGGTTAAAACCGAGATAAGAAAAGCCAAGAGGAACTTTGAACTGAAGGTAGCAGGGGAGGCGACAACAAACCCCAAAGGAGTCTACCAAATGTCTCAAACGCGAGATAAGATTGGACCAATACGTTCAGACACCGGCGAGCTAACTGATAACGACGGAGAAATGAGCAATAATCTGAATAAATATTTTTCAACAGTTTTCACAACCGAAAATTTAAACATGATACCCGAGGCACCGACTCTATTCAGAGATAGAGAAGAAAACAAATTAAGCGAGATAGTAGTGACTAGTAACGATGTTAATAAGCAAATAGACAAACTGAAACCTAATAAGTCACCTGGTCCTGATGAGATATTTGCCAGAGTATTAAAGGAATGTAAAGATGAGCTTAGTATGCCCTTAGCAAAGTCGTTTAACATGTCATTAAAACCAGGTGTCGTACCAGAATCCTGGAGGATAGCGAATGTAATACCGATTTTCAAGAAGGGGGATAGATCACTATCCTCTAACTATCGCCCAATCAGTCTTACATCAATAGTAGGTGAATTACTAGAATCAATTATTTCAAACTCTATTCGAAACCACCTGGAGAAGCACAAGTTGATCAATGATTCCCAACATGGCTTCACAAGCGGGCGTTCATGTCTAATTAATCTATTAACATTCTTCTCATCAGTTTTCGAATTGGTGGACGAGGGACACAATTATGATGTGGTATATCTCGACTTTAGCAAAGCCTTCGACAGAGTCCCCCACGAAAGACTATTTAGAAAGGTAGAAGCGCATGGCATCAAAGGTAATATCCTTAAATGGATTAGGGCGTGGTTACAGGACAGGAAACGCATAAACGGCACTAAATCGCATTGGAGCAACGTTACTAGTGGAGTTCCCCAAGGATCAGTACTTGGACCATTATTATTTATTATATACGTAAGCGACAGAGATATCGACATAGACAGCAACATAAGTAAATTTGCTGATGACACTAAAATAGGACGTGTAATTAAATCTGATGAGGACTCTGCAAAACTACAGGAAGATCTAAACAAATTTTTCGAATGATCGGAAAAATGGCAGATGAAATTCAATGTGGACAAATCTAAAAAGTACTCAGTATAGGAGATGTAAACAGGGAAACCAGTTACCAGATGAACAACGATGCCATTGTGGAATCCGACTGCGAGAGATTTAGGAGTAATGATAAGTAGGAATCTTAAGCCAAGTAAACAATGTGTTTTTGCTTGTAACAAGGCTAATAAAGTACTTGGGTTCATACAAAGGAGTGTTAGTTTCAGGACTCGCGAGGTCATCTTAAAATTATATCTAGAGCTTGTGAGACCTCACCTGTATTACTCAGTTTAGTTCTGTTCACTGTATTACAAAATGGATATAGAATCATAGGAAAGAATCCAGAGGAGAATGACAAGACTAATCCCGGGCATTAGGAACCTTGAATACAGAGACAGGTTAAAGCATCTTAATTTGCACTCCCTCGAGAGACGAAGAGTGAGGGGCGACATGATAGAGGTGTATAAATGGAAGTCAGGGTTAAACAAAGGGGACATTACAAAGGTACTCAAAGTATCCAACCAGGAGCGAACTCGTAACAATGGTTTTAAATTAGACAAATTTAGATTTCGGCGTGAAATAGGTAAACACTGGTTTGGAAACAGAGTAGTGAATGAATGGAACAAGTTACCAAATATCATCATTAACTCGAATACGCTGGATAGCTTCAAACATAGGTTGGATGCTTATATGAGCAATAGGGGTTGGGTATAAGCGGGACTGCCCAGTATGGGTCAATAGACCTGCTGCAGTTTCCTCCATTCTTATGTTCTTATGTTCTTATACCAGTACCTTAGTGACCCATGACCTAAACCCCACAAAGCCTGTTCATCCAGCTGATGGCGCCATAAATATCCAATTGGGGATTGCCTGTGCCACTTATGTGGTTTTGGTAGCATTTTACCTGAGGTTCATGGCGCCATCAGCTCAATAAACAGGCTTTGTGTGAAATATAACAAAGTCTAGGATTGGTTTTAGTGTCCTTGTGGTAAGGTGGTAGCAATCCCTGGTCACACGCATAAGGTCGAGAGTTCGAGTCCTGGCTGGTGAGGTCGTTGATTATATATTGAAAGTCCACGTGTTATATGGACTAAATGAAATAAATAAATATATATATATATATATATATATATATATATATATATATATATATATATATATATATATATAATAAGGAAAGAAGAAAACACGAAGTTCGTGTTTTCTTTCCTTGTTATCAGCATATACCTAGATCACAACAGTAGATATATATATATATATATATATATATATATATATATATATATATATATATATATATATATATATATATATGTATATAAATATATATATATATATATATATATATATATATATATATATGTATATATATATATATATATATATATATATATATATATATATATATATATATATATATATATATATATATATATATATATATATATATATATATATATATATATATATATATATATATATATATATATATATATATATATAAATGTAATAGTCAGAAATTTCAGTGTAATTTCAAATGCCGCGCCATTGGCGCATACTAAGTTTTCAAGGTCGTCTGAGGGAAGAGAGCGTTCCCCGCACATAGCGAGAGGTTGTGGAACTAGACCTATATGAGATTAAATGTAATTTGCCAAATTAATAATGATGCGATTCATGAAGTTAAGGGACTATTATTGAATTTTAAATTATTATAGATCGTTTATCAGTCTGAATAGTGTTACGGGTGTCCCAAGGAGTTATTAGTTAGGCGGAAAATATGTCACGTAGGCCTAAGCTAACGCCTTGAGAGAACAGGAGGCGGGCTCTCTCTCAGTCACGTGAAAGCGATCGGAACTACAGGACATCCCCGACCGCCCGTCCACAGAAATAGTCACATGGCCTAGTCACCTGTGTTGCACTATTGCAGTATAACAAGTAAGTCTCATTCGATCTCAGACAGGGTTTAGATACGGCAGTGATAAAGTTAACAAGAGCTAACAGTGAGTTCATTTCAGGGTTTCCGTCAGAACCCACTTGACTGCGAGAAATTGACTGCGAGAGTGATGACTGCCAGAGATTGACTGCCGTTTGAGACTGCCGTTGATGATTGATGATTAGCGATTGTCGCAGTTGGAACGATCAGTGCAGGCTTGTCACTGGTCAGCGGGGATATCAAGGGATCTCTTGAGTGAGCAAGTGCTCCCGACAACTAAAACGACACAGGACCAGCATCAGCATTGGGTGATCAGTTCTTCCCATGTGGGTGCACAGCACCACGTGTTTTCGGTCAGCTAGAAGTATTACCTACTGGCTAGGGTCACCTGCTGGCATTCTCTCTTCCCGCCCATGGACACACTGGGAGTACACTGAGGCTATCTGAGTAAATTAATGGTCACACACTAAGACCAGGAGTCTAGGGGATGCCTAGAGAAACATTTTATCTCCCTTATTACAGGTGTATGTTGAGTTGGGTGAAGCAGGGTTCCCAGGTATTGGTGGACTCAGTAATATCTTAATAATAGTGATAATATTTTGGGTGTAGTTAATACCATTTTTTTCAGTTACTGATATTATCTTGATGTGTGTAGTTTAATATTTCTTAAATGATTTTGATACTATTGTTTTTTAATGTTTGTTTCACTAATTGAAACCAGAGTGATACTGTGATTTAGTTCCTTTAATGCATTTAATTTTTCTTTGTAATTCCGATCTCGGATATAACCTTTGTTCCCCAGAGTAGTGTTAAGTTAGGATAGGAAGTGTGCATCGGTTGGTGCAACCTAATTCTATTGAGTGCCCTGAAGGCCTATTCAGGGTGGAGTTAATAAGTTTTTATTTTTCTATACCATTTTCTCAGTGCTGGACATAATTGTGTTGAGTGCCCTTAAGGCCTATTCATTGTAGAGTTATTAATTTCCTATTTTGTTAATACCATTTTCTCAGTGGTTGATATTATTTTGTTGAAAGCCCTTAAGGCCTGTTTCATGCGTGCAAACAACATTTCTTAATACTTTAAATTTATTGTTGTCTAATGAGGCATTGTCTGAGTTTCTAATAATTTCAATCTCAGGTATAACCTTTATTCCCCAGAGTAGTGTTTTAAGTTCAGGTTAAGAGGTGAGCATATTGGTGTACCATTATTTGATTGTGTTTGTAGTGTTGGAGGGAAAATAAGTGTAAATTTAACAGTGTGTCTCATTCATCCCAGTCACAGACGCTATCCTTCCACGGGTCACGGACAAGTCATTTTGTTTAGTAAATTTAAGTGTTCTTGTGCTGGTTCGGGATTTCTCTCAAAGGGGCACTTCCACTACAATTACCATCTAATAATCTTTCATAAACCCCAAGCCAAGTGGGAAATTAAAGTCCAGTAAATTCCGACAGGTTACAAATGGTAGCAGAGCGTAGTTTTTAATGTCGTGACTGATAGTTCTGTGGTTGGGTTAATGAACGCCATCATGTGTTGGTTAGTAATGGTAGGGATTGAATTCGCACTGATGCTCATCCTTGTGTCCGGATTGAGTTGGTTAGGCTTGACAGTAGAGATAAAAATGAGGAGGAAGAGAGACAGCCACGAGACCTTGGTACAGCTGAGAGAGGAGTTCGGAGACCTAAAGAGGGATTATCAAGCACGGGTAAACAGGTTAAAGTGGGAGTTTCAGGCACACATTCAACGGTTCAGGGAGGAAACAAGGGGTGAATGTCAGGCACACGTCCAGCAGTCAAGGAATTGTCAGGTCCAAGTGGAAAAATACAGGGGTACGTAAGTAGTTCAGAGAGGTTGATCGAGCCCTCCAGCTGAGAGACAAGACGAAGCCGACCGATTACAGTTTAGGTGTGCATGGTAATGAGAAAAGGCAGGTTGTCGAGGGTGAGTTGGAGGAGTCGTGAGTAGGGCAGAGGGGATTGGAGAGATGGTTAGGTCAGAGATGTGCGTTGAGTAGTGGTTGCTGTCATGAGCGGGTTTGAGAGTACGGTTGTAATGTCCAGGGCCTCACTAATATGGACTGGTACATTGTCAGAGGGTTGGTCTGCCGGCATGAGGTTCGAAGACGTGGATTGAGTTGATCATTGAAGACGTGAGAGCGTTCGTGTGGACTGAGTATTGTTTTGCCACTGGTTCCTATTAGTTCAAGGGCCAGGCAAAGGAGAGCATGTTTGAGTTGGACTGAGTATTGTTTTGACATTGGTTCCTCTTAGTTCAAGGGCCAGGCAAAGGAGAGCATGTTTGTTTTGGACTGGTATTAATTTTGACATTGGTTCTCTAGTTAAGGGCCACGCAAAAGGGGAGCGTGATGTTCTGGTTGGTTTTGAGTTGGGCTAGGCAAGAAATGGAGTTGCTGGCTGCGAGTTGGAATACGGCAGAGTTGAAGTTGGTTTCTAAGTTGTTCTCTCAGCATATGAGGACAGTGCTGTCTTTTTTTAGGGGGTCGAATGTTAGCGGGAGAGAGAAGGGGAGAAGAGAAGACGGGAATGCTGCGTTTAGCACGTTAAAGGGGTGAGATGCAGTTTCTTAGAACAAATTTCTAGGGGGGTCGTATGCATGTTTTCTCAGCACATGAGGACAGTGCTGTCTTTTTTTAGGGGGGTCGATTGTAATATTCAGAAATTTCAGTGTAATTTCAAACGCCGCGCCATTGGCGATACTGAGTTTTCAAGGTCGTCTGAGGGAAGAGAGCGCTCCCCGCACATAGCGAGAGGTTGTGGAACTAGGTCTATATGAGATTAAATGTAATTTGCCGAATTAATATGATGAGATTCATGAAGTTAAGGGACTATTATTGAATTTGAAATTATTATAGATCGTCTATCAGTCTGAATAGTGTTACGGGTGTCCCAAGGAGTTATTAGTTAGGCGGAAAATATGTCACGTAGGCCTAAGCTAACGCCTTGAGAGGACACGAGGCGGGCTCTCTCTCAGTCACGTGAAAGCGATCGGACCTACAGGACATCCCCGTGCGCCCGTCCACCTGTGTTGCACTATTGTAGTATAACAAGTAAATCTCATTCGATCTCAGACAGGGTCGCTATCCTTCCACGGGTCACGGACAAGTCATTTTGTTTAGTAAATTTAAGTGTTCTTGTGCTGATTCGGGATTTCTCACAAAGGGGCGCTTCCACTGCAATTACCATCTAATAATCTTTCATAAACCCCAAGCCAAGTGGGAAATTAAAGTCCAGTAAATTCCGACCGGTTACATATATATATATATATATATATATATATATATATATATATATATATATATATATATATATATATATATATATATATATATATATATATATATATATATATATATATATATATATATATAATGAAACAGCTTTATCATTGCTGACAGTATAAACGCCTGTCAATATACACTTGAGCAGTGCCTGTCAATATTGTAAACCTATGTTCGGCAACTCACACAGGTACGCAGAGCGACAGGCCAACAACAGCGACTATGTGATCGATTTGGCCAACCGAATGTACGTGAACGTGAGCTTTCCCATCCGTGACTGTGTGAGCCAGGTCCTCTCTGAGGAGGTCCAGTTTCTCAACTTCTACCAGGTCAGTACAGCTACACACATGTCACTGAACTCTCTCTCTCTCTCTCTCTCTCTCTCTCTCTCTCTCTCTCTCTCTCTCATACCATGTTTATCCGCCCTCAGAACGAGGCAGCCAATAAGATCAATCAATTCGTGTCGGAGACAACACGAGGCAAAATCACGCAGGTGGTCACCCCCCAGGACCTTAAGAACGTCGTCATGGCGTTGATTAACGCCGCTTACTTCAAGGGCCTCTGGCTCACACCCTTCAAGACTTCCCTCACCTCCAAGGATAAGTTCTTCACATCCCCAAACCAACACACACTAGTCGACATGATGAATCTACACGATTACTTTAAAGCAGGTATGTTTGTCTAGACTCTAGATAAAGCTTGTCCAACATAGTTTCCTTCCTCGCCATAGTTGAGGCGATCACCTGCCCAAATAATAGGCCAGTACATGGTTGAAATTCATATGCAATAATAAGCTAGTTCCGCCAGTGAAGCATCACATAAGTGTTGAAACTTAATTCCAAAAAAAATATAAAAGTAAATTCATCTTGGCGTTGCTACGCCTTATCCACGACATCACGCCTCTTCTGAGCTGGGGTACACACGTTTGTTAAGACTCTAATTTGCATACTTTCCATTCACCACATATGGCGATTGGTGCAAGTACTGGACAACTCTAGTGTAAATTGCATAGGTACCAGAAATGTTACAGCTTTAAAATAATTCTGGTAAAATTATCAAACCAATTTTAATATCTGAAGACAACCTGCACATGATCACAAGACCATATGAATTCAGTCTTGACAGTCAATAATTCACTCAATATGGGTAACATTCAGGAATTCCAACACATAAACCTGAACCCCGAAATTTTTCTTTTTAACATTTTTCCATTGTTGTATTTTTACATCTAAAACACCACTCATGGAATAGAAAACGCCTCTCCCTATCTGTGCAGGGACTTATCTAGACCGCGTCCCTATTGTAACCTTATATTATTATTGTCCGTGACGTCACACGTAAAATCGATATTTGTTAACGTGGGAGACATCTTTAATTTGTCAAGAATTTTAATAATAATCATAATTTTATATAATTTAAGCCAGTGGTATCGGGCTAAAGTCCTTACACATATGATAAACGCTCCACCATTTTAATAAACTGGGTTTATGACCAAGTATAGCAGATGAATAAGACGTGAATTATGGCTGTCTCATTATTGATGCATGTTGTTGTGTAAGTGTGTTCACTTTTTAACCATTTATTATCATAATAAGTTCCATAAAACAAAGAGCAGTAAGAGTTAGGTATTTGGGGGGTAACTGGGGATTGGCTGCTCTTGGGAGACGCTTAGATTATTTAATCTTAAATTAAGTGAACTATGATTCATTTATTACTGTACAATGAAAGAGACAAGAGGCAATTAACTGTAATTACATGACATCTATGTTTGTAACTTCATGTTACAAATAAGAGAAACATGGCGAGTATTTAAGTTGCAGGCAACTGTGATTCTAATTCGTATTAAACGTACAGGTAATGAACGGTACTGAAGCAGGGCAGGAAAATAAACATTACATGTCTTTTTTTTTGTTTTTTTTTACGGGAATTAGTCCACCCGGGCACAGATCAAACGACCCACAACGGAGCCTGAAGGGCGAAAAAAAAAAGAATGGAAAGAAATTGAAAATATAGAAAAAAAGGGTATACTGTACTAATCTACACCACGAAGATGCCGGAAAACCAGGTTTTTAAAGTGAGACAGATTGTAAGAGCAAGGAAACACAGAAGAAGGCAGAGCATTCAACAGTTTGGCTGTGTGAGGAAAGAAGGAGGTACTATAACGGGTTATTCTCGTGTGACCGACATCCACAGAGAAATGGTGGGCACCGCGGGCAAGACGTGTGTTACGAACCCACGGCCTTGCCGGCGGTACACAGGATGCCAAATCCACTGAACATTGCCCGTTAAAGTACCTGTAAAAGAGAGAGAGTGAAGCAACATTGCGGCGAAGGGAAAGGGGAGAGAGATTGTCGACTAAAGGAGGAGAGTTAATAAGACGAAATGCCTTTGATTCCACCCTATCTAATAGTTGGACAGAAGAGCCACCCCAGATATGAGAACAGTACTCCAAGTTAGGACGAATGAATCCCTTATATACTTGGAGCAACTGCTCAGGAGTGAAATAGCTGCGGCATCTGTACAGCATTCCCAACTTCCGGGAGGCAGCTTTAGTTATACTAAGAATATGTGATTTCCAGGACATATTGGAGGAAATGGTGAGGCCTAACATATTTATTTCAGAATGTGGGAGGATGATAGCGTCCTCAAATGTAATTGGTGGGAGATCGTCTAATTTACAAAGTATAATTGGTAAATATGGAGTTTTGTGACTATTGAACTTAACCAAGTTTGTATCGCCCCATTCAGAGATGCTGCACAGATCCGCGTTGATAGAAGTAATGATATCAGTTCTAGAAACAGATCTAGTTTGAGAGTTAGGAGGAAGGGGAAAATGTGAGGAAGAGTGAAGAGTAGAATCATCGGCGTAAGAATGGATAGAATTAGTTGTAGTGTGAAGTAAATCATTGATAAAAAGAAGGAAGAGAGTTGGTGAAAGAACAGAACCCTGTGGGACGTCACCATTGGTAGAGAAAGAGCGAGAAATTGATCCCTCGACAACAACTGCCATGGATCGATTCTCAAGGAAGCTAGAGATGAGAGCACAAAGTGGGGGAGAGAAACCAAAAGAGGGAAGTTTAAATAGCAAAGACTTGTGCCATACCCTGTCAAATGCTGTAAGGCACGTCGGGGTAAGTTAACTGATATCACCGTTTTAAATTTCAAGTGGATAGAAGCAATGAGTGTAACACGAGTAAATGATACTAAAATTACTCATTCCTGCTGTCCTGAAAGAGTGGACAAGTACAATAACATCATAACTATGTATAGGAAGACGTGTAATTATTGCTGTAGTGAAGCAAATAACAATTAAGTTATCTGGTGCTGCAGGAAAATCAAGTGAGCTGGGAGCTAGAGTGCTTGAACTGCCGTACAAGGGAGAGGCCGCGTCCATGTTTGTGCTTCTGCCTGACTCTGCGGCGACCGACGACAACACCACAACACCCCTGGACGCCATGCTGACCCGCCTCACCCCATACACTCTCAAAGCTGCCCTCGCCACACTGAGAGGACAAAGAGTCGACATCAGGATCCCCAAGTTCAAGATGGAAAAGTTGATCAAAAAAGAACTTAATGAGGTGAGTGTCTTATACGTTTAAGATTATTATAACGAGGACTGCAAGTAATACCTGGAATTATAGCAAAATTACTCCCAAGAACTTTTTGGCCAAATGCATAATTACGAATAAATAATTATGTAAGAATTATATTCATGTTCACGATGATGCTGTTAAAACTATCCATTCACCGTTTGTCTCCTCTTTAGAACAACTGTCACTTGCTTTTCTATGTTTATCCAAACTTCACCAATTATCCGGCTGTGGACACACTCCCCACCAAGGAATAACTTTGCATTTCTTTTATGTGCCAAGTTATGAATGGTGACATTTTGATAGTGCCGGAAATAATTAATGATAAAAAGTTAAAGTAAAATCAAAATGACGGAAAAGAAAACAAAACCGGAAAGAAAAACAACCCAAAATAAAACGACAAGAATAAAGAAACCTATAAAAGAGAGAGAGAGAGAGAGAGAGAGAGGCCAGCCAACTCCACAAACATTAGTAACTAGAACCCACCTAATACCATTTCCCTTCAACCTCTCGACCTACCAATTAACATCACTATCACACCTGGCATGACCTTAAGTATATCTGAAGAGGCTGGCTGGAGTTATTTCAACGGAGTAAAGGCATTTACCAAATACCTAATCTCTCACCAAAACATTGTGACACCGTGTTCATTTTCACAAGCCAACAAATTTCCTTACAGCATTTATCACTACTGCCTTCACAACCAAGGAAAAAGTCAGTCACAAACTCTTGTATTTTTTGTTTTTAATCAAGATGCCTCAAACACTAATCAAATATCTACAAGAAGAAGCATTTAAAAATGTAGATGAAACTTTGCCCACAACGATCCATTAAGTTTACTTTTCTAGTTACATAACTGATGACACACTGCTTCATGTTGTTAAAAATATTCCAATCTTCCCGACAGGCTCTCCAGCGTCTTGGGATCCGAGACATCTTCAGTGACTCTGCTGACATGTCCATCTTTGATCCTTTACGTCGGCTTAAAGTGAAAGAGACCATCCATAAGGCCGTAATAGAAGTAAACGAAGAGGGTTCAGAGGCTGCGGCTGCAACAGTGGGACTCATTGTTCCCTCGACGGTCCCGTTACGATTCATATGTAATAGGCCCTTCCTATTCTTCATCCACGATAACCATACCAATAACATTCTCTTTATGGGCGTCTACAGGCAGCCATGAACCCACACCAAACCATAATGTACACCCTTATAGAACACCAATATAACTTAGGCACCTACAAAGAGACCTCCGTAATATCTTGACTATCACTGCCCACTATTATGTTTACGTGACCATAATAATGTAAAATATATCCCCTGTAATGTGGTCGTGATGTCATCAACTGTGTATGTGAGTTACAAGTGTTCCCCAAGAACTGACTGACAGTGAAGGCTGCCGCAGTAACATTCTAACCCTAATGTTTCGAAATTATGAAATATATAAACAACCTGAAAAATAATATTCAATTTAGTTCCTGAATAAAATATACATTATTCCCTTGTATTTCAGTACTTCCTTCCAGTTGTCTTAAGTATATTATCTTTTTGTTATTGTAATTCCTCCTGCATAACACACATGACATGATTATAATCTTGCTAATTATATATTATTTTAGGTAATAAGTTGCGTCAGTAACAGATCAATACACTGTTGAAGCATTACACATGGAGGGTTCTCCTCCCTTTAATTGTCTTCCCATTATCTCTAAATCACACTTCCAAGACGATACTCCCACCCCTCCAAGACGATACTACCACCCCTCGAAAACAATACTACCATCTCTTCAAGACAATACTACCACCCCTCCAAAACAATATTACCACCCCTCCAAAACAATACTATCACCCCTCCAAAACAATACTACCACCCCTCCACGCCAACATTACCTGCCTACTCGTCAATAATTATCCCAACCCTCACCGTCATCACAACGCTGCTGTACATGAGCGGCCGTTAGGTTTTACAATGCTGAGCTAAAACATTACTAAAAGGTTCTTATTGTGGGACAACACATAGTTATATATTTGGGAATAAATTTCAGTTAATATCACTAATGCTACGATTAAATACTTCAGAGTGTCAGTTCAAGGTTTAATCTCTCAAAATTACACATTTTGGCAAAAGTAAGCATCTTCGAACTGTATTAAGCGGAACCAAGCAACTTCCTCTTCCGTCTTGTGAGGAAGATGATTAACTGGTTTCATCACTGGGATCTCAAGTCAAAGATGGAATCCATACAAAAGAATCATCTAAAGCCTTACAGAAGTCAACCTTCTGCAGACAAGATCTTGGTCTCTATTCTCTACAATGCCAGAGGGATTCTGTTGATTGACCACCTTGCACATAAAACAATGATCACTAGTGCAGCCCTAATGCGATAACTGAACAACATTATCCATCTGGGAGAAACAAGGACGACCAAAGTGTGGTCCTGCTTCACGACAAGGTGCCGGTCCACAAATCAACATAATCTATCATCCCTCCACAACATAATCCTCCATCCATTTACAACTTACCCCAAAATCCCTTCACAACTTACTCGACAATCCTTCCACAAAAATATATTTCACCATCCCTCCACATCATACACCACCATCCCTCCACAACATACTCTACCTTCCTTCCATAACATCATACACCACCATTCTTCCACAATATACTCTACCACTGATAACTCTATAGCCAACTCTGCCCCCTGATAAAGCAAATCTCTTTGGCACCTTACGAGATATTTTCTTCTAACTCCACCTTAGACGATTCCAACTCTACCCCTCCTACTCCTCCTCCTCCTACTGAACCTATGCACTTTCCTATAATTTCCACTCGTAGGGTTGCTGATGTGTTATCCAATCTGGATGCGAGTAAAGCGCATGGACAAGACGGAATACCCCCTCGTGTTCTGAAGTTCTCGCTTCTTTCGCCTTTGCCTCAAAACCCAAACTTTTGCCTCTTAGAAGCATGCCTAGGTTCAGCCCATCCCCAAGAAGGGCTACCATTCGAGTCCCTCTAACTATCACCCCATTGCCTTAACTTCATCCCTCTCTAAGGTTTTCGAAACAATCTTAAACTCTCGTTTTCTCCGTCACCTTGAACGTCTTTTTCTTTTGTTAGATCACTAGTATAGCTTTCGCCAGGCGAGATCTACTGGTGATCTGCTCTCCTACTGTACCCATCTTTGGTAATCCTCTCTTAGGAATTATGTTTAACTTTCGTCGTGGCCTTCAACATCTCCAAAGCATTTGACAGTGCCTAGCACAAGTCTTTGCTTTCTAAACTTCCCTCTTATGGTTTCTCCCCCCCAATTTGTTTTCTAATTTATAGCTTTCTTGAGAACCGAACCATGGCAGTTGTTGTTGAGGGATCGATCTCTCGCTCTTTCTCTACCAATAGTGGTGTCCCACAGGGTTCTGTTCTTTCACCTACTCTCTTCCTTCTTTTTATCGATGATTTACTTCACACTACTACTAATTCTGTCCATTCTTACGCCGGTGAGTCTACTCTTCACTATTTTCATTTTTCCCTTCCCTTAATTCTCAAACTAGATCTGTTTCTAGAGTTGATATCGTTTCATCTATCAATGCGGATCTGTGCAGAATCTCCGAATGGGGAGGTAGAAATTTGGTTAAATTCAATAGTAATGAAACACAGTATTTACCAAGTGCACTTTCCAAAACAGAAGATCTTCCACCAATCATAATTCACGACACAATCACTCTGCCAAATTCTAAAAGATATGCTAGACCTCACCATTTCCTCTAATATGTCATGGAAGCCACACATCCTCAACATTGCTAAAGCTGCCTCCCGAAAGCTGGGAATGTTGCACAGATGCCGTAGCTACTTTACTACTAAACAGTTGCTTCAAGTATATTAGGGATTTATTCGTCATAACTTGGAGTACTGCTTTCCTATCTGGAATGGTTCTTCTTCTGTCTAACTGTTAGATAAGGTGGAATCAAAGGCATTTCGTCTTATTTACTCTCCTCCTTTAGTCGATAATCTCTCATCCCTTTCTCTTCGACGCAATGTTCTCTCTCTCTCTCTCTCTCTCTCTCTCTCTCTCTCTTTTACAGGTACTTTAACGTGTAATGTTCGCCGGCAAGGCAGTGGCTTCATAACACTCATCTTGCCCGCGGTGCCCACCGTTTCTGTGTGGCTGTCGGTCACACTAGAATAACCCTCATACAGCCAAACTGTGGAATGCTCTGCCTTTTTCTGTGTTTCCATACTTATACAATCTGTCTCACTTCAAAAACCTGGTTTTCCGGCATCTTCGTGGTGTAGATTAATGAGGGTGGGAAAAAATCATGATTTTTTTTTTAAATAAAAAGAAAATCGATTGATTTGATTTAAATCGGATTTTTTTTATTTAAATCGATTTTTTTTACTAATTGCAATAAAAAATTATTTTTAAACCATAAAAACAGTATTTTCCAACCAAAGCTTATTCAGGATAATAAACAGAAAATTGGCATTAAGATATTTATGCAGTGGATGTAGTAGTAGTAGTAGCGGGCGGGCGGGCGGGTCGTGTTGCGTCTCTGTAACAAAGCGTGTTCGGCATTCGGGCCTTCGATGTAGAGCGGCAGAAATTGGACAGTGATTACATAAGTTCGTCAAGATCGTCTTAGTGAGGTGAAAGTGTAAATCGATGTCGGACTTTTCATGCTAGACACGATTGTATTTTTGAAAACTCAATTTCCACCGAGTTGGAGGTACAGCCAGAGTCACAGGCCTATAACCACACAATCACTGCCACATGACAAAGCTTTTATTTTATTTTATTTTTTAGGGTGTTGTGGTCACGGCTGTGATAAAGGCCAACCAGGGAGTGTAGTACTGTGCCTTTAGTTAAATCAGTTCATAGTTGTCATCAGTGAATGCAGAAGAGACTATAAATAACTTAAAGTGAATACATATTGGCAATCGAGCTGGTAAGGACAACTGCCAGCCTATTCGTGTCATAGGTGCCACAGAGACTTTAAATTTTATTTTGTTTGTGTGCTTTCTCAAGGACTGAATCTGTGTTTATAATACACCACTCACAGGGAGATACAGTGTACACAGTGATAGTTCATAGTGTCATCAGTGACCGCTGAAGTTGTAAATAACTTAAAGTGAGCGCTCACTAGCAAGCAAGCTGGAAAGGCACCGTGCCAGCTGAAACCAAGTCGTGTCATAGGTGCCACAGAGACTTTAAATTTTATGTTGATTGTGTGCTTTCTCAAGGACTGAAACTGTGCCTACAATACACCATTCACAGGGAGATACAGTGTACGCAGTCGCAGACGACAACTCCATAGGCAACAGAGAGTAGCTAAGTACTTTTTCTCTCTTTATTTTCTTTGAAATAGGTGTAGATTTATACACAGTCTGCACCCCCCCCCCCCACCACAACAACAACAACCATGAGTTTGATATGTGATTACTGCAGGGAGACGTCGGATATGGAGGATACAGGCCTAACTAATGCAGCGTTTAGGAGGTTACTAACTGCCGTAAAGCTTGATGGCTGTTGCTGGTATTGCCCTGGCTGCATAGTCAAGGTGAATGAAGCGATTGCAATCCATAAGGGAACGAGTTCTCTAGGGACGAAAATAGATGAAGCAGGAGCCCTGCTGGTTGACAAACTGGAGCAAGTTGAGAAAGAGATCCTTGCTAAGACTGAGGAAGTAGCTAATAGAATGGAGGTGGTTGCTAAGAGGAGTTATGCTGACGTATTAGGAGGGCCACGGGGGAGGGCGGAGAGTAATGCAGAATCAGTACAGGTTCTACAGCAGATTGGGACTCTGAAAAAGTGTGTCGAAAAATGAAAATTAACGCACCTACTGTTAAGGGGAGGGGAGGAACACCAGGAACGGCTCCAGCGCAGGAACAATGTAATAGTTTTTGGAGTCCCAGAGAGCCAGGCAGAGGGAACTGTGAGTAAGGAAACACACGACAAGGTGCTGTTTCAAAATATTTGCACAGAGGTTCTGAAGATTCCAGCAACCCCTCAGGATGTGAGGAGACTGGGACAAAAGCAGGGGGCTAAGCCTCGCCCCCTCAGGATCACACTAGGAAGTGAGGAGGAAAAATGGCAAGTTATTCGGCAGGCAAAAAACTTAGCAAGGAGCGAGGCATTTCGGGATGTATTTATTCACCCAGACCGCACGGTAATGCAGAGGGAACA